TATGTTCGTCGACTTAATATTCAGCTTCGTCGACTTATTTTAAACTGTTGACTTATATTTTGTTTGATTGATAGTTTGTCGACTTATTTAAACCATTGACTTAATTTTTATGTTCATCGACTTGACATACTATTATATAAATTAATTAAATTGTAAAATTAATTAAAATCAATTCCTAATTTTGTTTTATAAAAAATATCAATTGATAATTTTATTTAAATTAATATATTATAATTTAAATTGATTCTTATTTTTATCTAGAATCTTTACAAAATCAATTGAAACCATAGGGCTTTGTCATCTTCTTCCTTCTGCGCTGCCGACTTGTGTCATCTTTACAACCTTAATTCTTTTTACCAAAACAAAAAAAAAATTACAGAGAGATGTCTTAAGTAGATGATGATGATGATGCTAAGACTTACTCGGATGAAGAGTTTAGTGGTATTAGTGATAGTTTTGTAGATATTTCATAAGGAATAAAAGTTTTATCAAGAATTTTTTTTATTAGATTATTAGATTATCAATAGATGGTGATATATTAATTTTAAATAGATAGTGATATATTAGTTCTAACTTAGTCTTGTAAGTAAGGATATTATTGTCATTTCAACTCTTAAAATAGAGTATTTTTCAAAGTGTAACAAATTTGATATAGATTTCAAATTTCCAATAAAATTTAGTGTATACAAGCCAATTTTTCCTAAAAAAAATCTCAAATCTCATTAAAAAAAATTATATTTTGAAAGTTCATGTAGTGTAGAAACTTCTTTATAATAAATAGTTGACCAAATGATCAATATTTTTACGTAAGATTTCAGATTTTCCATAGAGCATTTTTTTTCTTTCTATATTGCACATCAATCGTGTCATTTGAGAATATATATCTAAGTTGTTGGATTGTATTTTGTTAAAAACAAAACAAAATGGAATTCGAAACCCATAGACAACGACATCACAAGCAAACAAACCATAATTACATGCGTTTTTTCATCTGTAACGACAAAAGTACATTTCAACATTAAAAGTGGGCTATTGTAAAAGAAATTACAATTGGAATGACGGCATGTCGTTAGTGCTTTGGTGGTAACTAATAAGTTTGTAATTTTGTAGATTACTAAAAGTTGATCTAACAACCATAAATACATTTCCCCATCGTCAAACATTTAAATGCATCTTATATCTAAGTGTAAAAAAATTAATCTAAGGATTATAATAGTCTTTCACTCATTTAATCGCCACCTTTAAATCAAGCTCATTAATCTAATGGTTGACAATCAAAGTTTACTTAATCTCTGTTACAAAAATTAAGGCTAAGCAAGAAATGAAAAATGCAAAGAAATTATTGGTCTTTTCTCCATTGTAAACGTGTTATCTATTTGCCCCAAAAAAAGAATTTGTTATCTTAAA